AAAAGCATCCAAAGGTGTTGATGTGAAACTGAACCAGCCCCAGCTTCCTACCCTGCTAAATCAATCCTAGACGTCACAGGGCTCAGTCTATTTGAGGACACACCAGGGACCTGAATGATCCAGCTTTATGCTGAGAATCCAGCCCATGGTTTTCGACTCTGGTTAATAAAAGCTAAGAGTTAGATCCTAGTCCATCTATTAGATGCTCAAGTGGACCTATTTTCCCCTTCCCAAGCACCTAAGAAACAATTAACGGAAAAAGTGGGTGGAGTGACCCCTCCTGCTTACTGCTTTTTGTGACTTAGCCTGAAGGCCAAAGTGATGGTGCATTACAAGAGCAGAAACATTAACAGATTTCCAGGGATGCAGGTGGGGTGGAAAAGCATTACATTTAGGCAGGTAATCAGCGGAAAAGGAGTTGGCCTGAAGGACCAGTCAGCACAGGAACCAGGAGCTAGTTCCTTGGAAACTGAATTTGATATATTTGAACCTTCCTCCATAATTTCAGTTGTGAACATGCAGCAGGGTTCTGTATTGACACCACACCACTGGACCCCAGATGCAGTCAAGCATTGAACAGGGAAAGCTGGAGGGCTCCAAGAGCTGGGATGGAAAACATAAAACAATAGTTTTCAACCTTTCTAGACTCAAGGCACCCCTCGTTAGACTCAAGGTACCCCTCAGAAAAGTGCCACCTCTAAGTTTTCACTTAATTTTTTACTACAAAAAAAATAGAGCTATTTAGAAAGGCCACAACAGTGCAGAATGCTTTGGACACACTGGATACCTATTTGAAATCTCCAGATTTACCTTGTGAATCATGCTAAGTATTTGTTCACCTAACTGTGCTGTGCAGCACCCTTAAAAGGATCTCATGTTCCCACACTGTGGCTGAGCATCACTGTACTGGATGGGGCTTCTCAGGGCTATCATTGCAGGCTGAGGTAGACACCACTGCATCAGCTACACTTGTACGTTCTCAGGGTTCTCTTCACATCCAGGAGGGCTAGAGATAATGGATTTTAAAAATGCAAGCTTAGGGCTGGATCCCTGCTCCACCTATTAGGTGTGTTACAGAAAGCGCCATGAGTTAGACTGGGGCAGGCAATTATTTTGGGTGGAGGGCCACTTACTGAGTTTTGGCAAGTCATCGAGGGCCACATGACAGGCAGCCACGGGCAGATAAATATTAATTTTCTAAATTTTTTAGGGGTCCCATGGGCCAGATGGAATGGCCTGGCAGGCCGCATCTGGCCCACAGGCTGCATTTTGCCCACCCCTGAGTTAGACTGATCCTCCTGATCCAACAGACGTTCACTGTTGGGTTTGGAGGCTGGGTGATTGCTTTCCAATTTGGAGCTGATCCAGGGAGAGAGGCTGTGTCTCTGCAGCCTCTTCCCCTAGCTCTGCCCCACCTTTCATAGCTCCCATTCTGTTTCAGGATGGAAAGGGGAGAAAGCAGGGGACGGGGGTCCAATTCTGGGGTTTCCCCACCCTCCATCATGGTGGGGCACCCCCCAGAATGGGCTTCCTCTGCTTCCTCCCCGTCTTCCATTCTGAAAACACCACCAGGAGCAGTGCTGGGCTGCGACAGCTGAGCCCTGCTCCTGGCATCCACAGACAGAAGTTAATGAATATGCTCCGCTTCAGAGCATCTTCATCTGAACCCTTATGTAATGAGGGTTCAGGGTGTCTTGAGGTTGGGCCCTTTTAAAGCACTCTGCAGCCATGCATTTGGCATTTGGTCATGGCTGCAGAGCACTCTCAGGGGCCAGATCAGGTGCAAACTGTCACTTCTGTCTGTGCCTTAAGTGTCTGTGTCTTGCATCTGTCTATTACTCTGTAGGCAGAGCAACGCAGGCTTCCTTAATTACTTAGTTGAGGAAAACAACTTGGTTACATTTGATTCTTTCCCACTTCACTTCCATCCTCCAAACCTTTCCTGGGAGAACCACAGACTAATGGGATCGTGGGACCATCATCTTCCCAACTTACAGGCTGGGCGGTATGCAAGTGGGTGGGGATTATTTCCTGGTGGAGTGCCACACCCACCCAGCTAGTCAAGCCCTACCCCACCTTAACTGGCTGCATCCATGTTGCTCTCCTAATCCACGTACTCAGGACTTAGAGATATGCAGATGAATCTGTTACCTATAGGCAATACGCCATGCCTTCTTTTATGATCTGCTGGTTCCCCCAGTTGCTGGAGATGCTGCAGCTTGGTACATGCTTATTAGAGACAACTTAGGAGGGGAGAAAACATGCTGCAGACCGGTAGTGTAACTATGGGTGGCACACCAGGGCACCAGCCTGAGTGCTGACTTAGAGGGGGTGCAATACCAGCAGTCACTGCCGCTACTGACCTGGCCACTGCCGCCAGCCCAGAACTGGGTGGTTAGGCCTTTGCCTCAGACATGCACAAAAACACCCAATGCTAATTGAGCTTCTTAACATGTTGGTAGAGAAAGAAAACTCTGAACCAACTCTGCTTCTTATCTGGGGTTGCAAAACTCTGGTTGGAAATTGTGGGCACGCCAGTAATCTTGAGACTTAAAGGGAAATTTCTCAGACAGTCTCTCTCTCACACACGTTATTTCGTTATTTCCACCTTCGCCCACCCAAACACACACACACACACACACACACCCCCTTGAGTTTAACAAACCATTCATTTCACTCTGCCTCTCTGTTTACCAGATGTCTACAAGTAGCTTATCATTTTCTGGACTTTATTTGCTGAACAGTTAAAGCCAATCCTTCCCACTCTGGCTGGCTCACAGTTTGTCAAACATTCAAGCTGTGCTGACTCTAGATGGTTTGCAGGATAAGTTGGTGTTCCCCAATTGGATAAGCGTATCTCTGGGAGCTGGGTTTAAGGCACAAGCACTTTCCAACAGTTACTTAAAAGGCCCCGTTTCCTTGAACCTTCCCACCGGTAAGCTTGTTCACTTGACCCTATGCAGAAGGCAAACACAGGAATGAGGGCCAACACAGCTGAAGGGAATGTGTTTAAGAATTCAAACAAACAACCATAGCAATTTTTGCTAGAATGGATTCAGGCCTAATATATAAAGGACCTCCTTAGAATGAACCCACAAAAGCCTGAACATTTGAGCTAACATCTCTTCAAAACCAACCTCACTCTGTTCTTTCTACTTTACCACTTGGCGAATCCTGGACATGGACCTGGAATCTAATGGTTTAGATATCTCTCACAATAATAAAACCCTAGGACACAACATACCAAACAGCCCTGGGCTGCTGGAAATCCCAAATCCCTGGGGCAAGAAAGAAACTTACAACTTTGAAATGAACACATTTTAAAAGTCAACTGAATGAACTTTGATTTTTCAAGGCCTAATTCTGCATCTCAGTGAGTCTGAATACAGGCCTTGTTTAAATCAATGTGAAAAAGGAGTGGACTGACGATATACAGCCCCATGACCAGTGTAACCTACTCAAATCCTGTGTGGACATACTCCAGGAAAAAAAGCAGTGGTAAAACTCCACCAGTGTAAATCACGCCAGCGTAGGTGCCATCTGTCCACACCTTACCCTGGGGTAGCAGTTAGTGCATGGCAAACAGACTGTTACTTGCTCCCTGCCACCCAGAATAGCTGTTTTGTGTGCTCTGGGAACCTGGTGTACTTTACATCAGTGTCTAAAACCAATGGAAGTGTAAATGTGTCATCTGTGCTGGCCCTGTGTGTCTTAGTATTTTACCTTAGAACTAATGATACCGCCAGCACTTTGAGAAGCGTCATCAGCCTGCGGCTGAGAGCACACAGGAACCAAGAGCCTGAATGCAACCCTCAGCAAACAAGTGAAGACAGAACTGTTTTGAAAGTTTGGGGCAATACTCCTCCCTGATGATAATTCTGGTCTCAGACTAGCAAATGCATCTGAGCTGTAATTTACACCATGTGAATGTTCCTTGCCCTTGAATTGGGACTTAAAATATTCTGCAGACATGTTTTTATGAGACAGGTGCCCCTCCTGGGCCTGCTCTGCAGCAGACGCCCAGTGCTCTGATTCCACCAGAAATTGATTCACACGAGCTGGGAGCCTGCCCCCCCCACCCCGCTGTGCACTCTTTGGCTGCTTGGTGGGTAGCTCAGGAGTCCATGTAATCCTTCACTAAGTCTGGAAACATGTCAAATGACCTGACAGATGTCCTCTTTAAAGGAGGCTTCTATTTATTCTTCCCCGCAGTCAGAGTTGACCTATAGCTTATAATATGATGGCTCTCTGGTTGGCATTTACACTTCCCCACAGCCTGCTAACCTTTTTGCTGAAGCAGCACCATGGGAAGAGCAGGGCTCTGGGTGCTGGGTTTTTGAGGCTGTGGCACCCTCTTGTGGAACTATGTTGCCCACTGAACTCTCCAGCAGCTGTACCCGACATCTCACCTTTTTCCCTCTCTCTTTGCTCTTGTGAACAGTTACCTGCAGCCCTGAGTTATAGTCAGCCTGTTTGGGTGTGACAATGCAGCATCTCCATTAGAAATCAAAAGAAGTAGCTATAGTCAGGTTCAGTGCAGACAGAAAATGGCGGGGGCTTTCCTAGAGAAAGGGCAGGCTACAACTCAGCTGCTGCAGCAGTGAGGGGGCACACACAAAACAGGGACAGAGGAACTGAATGAATGCAGTCGTGGACACATAGGGCTCTGGAAGGGCCACTGGGTGCAAGGAGCTCCTCACCCAATGGGGATAACAACACTGTCTGCAGGTCTTGCTCTTCATCGCATAAAGTCATTTTGTGCCACTCTGGTTGTACACAGGGCTCTGGAGTTGGGTGCGTGGTTTGGTGCAAAGAGAATTAGGCTGTGTCCAGCACGGCTGGGTAGCCAAGCTTCCCTTTGTGCGGCCACTCTGGGACATCGCACCTGGAAGAGCCCCTAGGGGAAAGATAAGCTCCTTTGCCCAAGTGGGCTGCAGTGAGGAACACCCAGTTTCCAAGGACTGTACATTCAGCACATGATCTCTATGCTGGGCACTCACCGTCTCCATCCCCAACAAGACCAGCAGGGGGATGGTGGTCATTCCACCCCGGATCCACTCTTCCAGTGTCACAGTCCCATCATGATCATAGTCAATTTCCTCCATCATCTCCTTCAAAATCTGGAAGAAACAAGAGCCCCAGGCGTCACCATGCAGTCTTACTGGAGCTATTCACTGGGGTGCCTCAGGATGGCAAGTCAGAGCATTTATGTGAAGAACTAAAAACCTAGGCAATGAACAGAGCGAGGCTGATGCCATTTCCAGTGCCCAGAGGCCAGCACAGACCCCTGACTGCAGCCCTCTGCCCTTCATACCTCACAGCCTTTTCCCACCCAGCATCCACCCATCCCACTCTGCTGCTTACACCTGGCCTCTCCCCCCTAACTATTCTGGAAGGTCTCCACCATCGCCTCTTCTTTTAACAACCTTTATTATTAAAGAGCAGAGGCATAAACAGAGGAGCTTTGTCTCTTCAGAATGAACCTAGCACTGTTTTTTCCTCATCTCAGGTCCCAGCTCCCCTCTCTTTGGGACCATCTCTGTGTATAGGCTTATTTAGTCTGGAGAAGAGAAGACTGAGGTGAGATTTAATAGCAGTCTTCAACTCTCTGCAGGGGGGTTGCAAAAAGGATGGAGCTGGACAGTTCTCAGCGGTGGCAGATGGCAAAACAAGGGGCAATGGGCTCAAGTTCCAGCAAGGGAAGTTTAGATTAGATATTAGGAAAAACTCTCTCATGAGGAGGGTAGTAAAGCACTGAAACACGTAACCCAGGGAGGTTGTAGAATCTCCGTCCTTGGAGGTTTTTAAGGCCTGGCTTGACAAAGCTTTGGCTGGGATGATCTAGTTGGGGCTGGTCAAGTTTTGAGCAGGTGACTGGACTAGATGTGACCTCCTGAGGTCCCTTCCAATAGTAATTTACTATGATTCTATCTCTATAGCAGCTAGCTGTAATATTAAAAAGCTGGAATAAGCAAAATTGCCCCTGGATAACAAAGCCCCTGATCAGATGCCTCGATTTGACCTTCCTGAGCTGTGCTGTGTCTCCAGAAAGAACAACTTTTAGAGCTGCCCTTGAAGCGTAAGCAGCTGCTAAAATGGTCACCTCAGTCTTTTCAACTTCGTCTCCTCTAACAGTTGTCACATGTTCGAGAGAGGCCACAGGCTCTGCTGTAACTTACTGGTTTTAACTCTGTTGAGTCCCACTCCAGGTATTCTGCTACGTGCACCATCTGATTTATGATACGATCCAGCTCCTGAGCCCAGAGAGGAGAAAAACGAGGAAACAGAGACAATCAGAGATGCCCCTCAGCCGACATCTGACAATACGACAAGCATGTACAACTCATGGCATAGGCTGTTCACATAGACACAAGGTGGAAGAGACCTCGCACCAAACGATATACAAACTAAAGGGTGGGCACTGAGGTTACAGGTCTGGTGGGGAAACACCTTCACCACAGGCAGCCACATTTCAGCTGGTTGGAACATCTGGATAAAAAACAGTTTTCTTTGGAAAAAGCTGTTTTCCTGAAACTGAATTTTCTCCACAAAGCGTAAGTACAAACACTCAGAGGAGATTAGATTGTGTTAAAAAATGGACACCCCATTGAAGTTAAGTTGGGATGGCAGGGGGAGCGGCATTAATGGGGGAGTTGGAGGGCTCAGAGGGCACCAGTGGAGTCCGGAGGATTTGGCAGGATCAGGGGGGCTAGCAGGCTCTGTGTGGGGGGTGGGCAGGCTGGTCCATGGGATGCAGGAGGGGGGCTGTCCATTTGGGGGTGGGGTGAAGGGCCAGGGGTCTAAAAAATAGCTGGGTGTCAGGGTGAGGGGATGGTAGGAAAAGTGCAGGGCCAAGGCTGGGACCAGTGGCTGGGCCTGGAACTGTACAAATGTTCAATTAGATCAGTCTCGCCAGACCCAATTAAGTTAGATAACCTCAGAGGAACAGCTAACTTAGACCGGTTCAGCCATTTTTAGACTGATCTAACCATCCTGGGGCACAGACAGATGTGCAGCTCCCCACTGTAACTGAGAAGGCTTTGCAGGAAGCCATCTCTCTCCCAGCCTCTCCCTGTTTCTGAACTGGGTGGAAGGGAGCAGAGGGAGCTCGTTCTAGGTATCCCCTAACTGACGCTGCATGGTGGGGTGGGTGAATTGGAGTTTTGGAACAATTTCTGTCCCCGCCTCCAAATATTGCCCATAGAACTGGATGCTCTGCTTCAATATCTACCCCTGAGGTGAACCAGAGTTCAACATGAGTAAGTGAATTAGAATTTGTCCCCAAAGAAACAGTAGGGAAAGGGCAGAAAAAAACAGTCCCTGAAAGGACTCAAATGAACATGGGCACCCTGAGCGGTATAATCGCATTTTTTGCTTGGTGTAGGAATATTATATGGTGAAGTGAACTTGGGTTCACAAAAGTTTGTGCATTTGTTCTCTGTCTCTATCTATCTATCTATCTGTCTATTTATCTGTCTATCTAATTTAGTTAGTCTATATATACCCTGCCTTCTGACTGACTTTAGACTAATATAGCTAACTACCTCTCTCTATACCTACATGGTACCATGCAGAGCTACTTCTGAATGAAATAGCTCTGGCATAGATGCAAATTAGCCCTGATGAGAGGCTTGAATGGATGTACCCAGTGATCTGGAGGAAACCACCTTAGTTTCTCGCCTAGAAACAAGCTGGCTGAGCTAGAAGCAGCTGAGAGAGTCAGTACAGAGATTGCCTTTCAGGTGAAGCTCTGACAGTGTTTGGATTCAGGACTCCTCTTTTGCAAAGTGACTGCAGCCTGGCCAGGAGGTGATGACTTGCCTCCATGCCCTGAATTGCAGGGCTAAATGGCCAGCACAGATCTAAGGCAACATCTCAGGTGTTTTCCACTCATGCAATCCCTCCACATATCTGTGGGTTGATGTGATGAATTACAGGTCCCTATGTGAGACAGTATGATTTGTACAGATGCCTGTTGCACACCACTGCAAGTGTGCTCTCTGGCTGAGTGTCCCACAGAGAAACTCAAGTTGATCTAATATATCCATTGACTGAGCCCAAGATAACCAGCACACAATGGCCTGCTTGGGCAATAGGGCTGGATGTTGCCAGAGTTTCTCTGAATGACTCATAGGCTCAGGTGCTGCCCTTGCTCACACTTGATGACCATGCTTGAGCTGGGCAGGTGCCAGTAGGTGTCCTCCTATGTCAGGAGAGATGGGCTCAAGAAGATCTCTCTATCGGACAAGGTCCTTGGGGAAGACTTACCGAGTTGTCCAGAAGGCCGTTGCCATCCGTGTCATACAGGCGAAACATAACTGCAACAAACAAACACACCAGGCATGAGGCAGAAGCAGGGCTGTGGACGAACCAGCTCACCAAGCTGCATTCCAGCCTGAGGCCACTCCCGTAGCTTTCATGGACATGCACTCATGGCCCACTGAACCCATGCCCTTGGGCATCTCAGGGAGCTCTTGTCTTATGACAGATTTAAATGCAGTTGATGGCCAGCCATCCATAGTCTACTCCAGGAAACTTCTCCTTGATGCCAGAGATGCATTAAAACCCAGAGATCTCACTTGCAGCCCCCTGGGCTGTCCCATCATGTGATTTCCTAAATACACTTTACTGTGCAGTGCAAAATGATACCCATCTGCAGCCTAAAGCATTTGGAGGTGAAAAATGCCATACAAGAGCTAGGCATTGCTGTAGGATTTGCTTGGCTATGTTCTACTTATCAAATTCTCTATTATATCCCCAAGGCTGGTTCTGGTGGCACAGAAGAGCTTCTCTCTTCCTAATGAGTGGTCCAGAGCTTTCCCAAAGGAGCTGGGTGTGAAGGGAGCTGTGAGAAGAAGAGAAACCGGCATTCGCAGAAGCCAACAGGATGGCGGGTGGTGCTGCGGATCAATTATCCGGTACTTCTAGGACTAAAAGGAAGTAGATGTAGAAAGTGCAAATGAGCGTCTCAAAACTGCGTTCAGCCACTGACAGCCTGTGAGTCTTTGACACTGAGGAAAGTGTTTGTTTTAATTCTGCATTAGGTAGAGTTGAATAGCAAGGTGGGCCAAACGCTTTGGGGGTGGATAAGCCATCTCACAGTGAGGTTCTCTTCCCCATGGCTGCGTTTTGTGCTCAAGAGTCTCAAGTTTGTTAAAAAAAAAACCCAACAGAAACAAGCCTTGAATACTCTGGTGCCAAAGACAGCTTTTAAAGCAAGAACATGAGTAAACCAATGCAGTGATGCCTCCATGAGTCTGCAGAGACTCTGAAATAACCCCTGTGGGAGGTGTCAGTTGCCCCTTCACAATCTGGGAAACCCTAACATTGGCATCTAAAGACGACAATAAATGGCAACACTGTTCACCACCTCCCCACTGCATGGTGAAGAGGAGCACTGTCCACCTCAGCTGGTGTCATGAATGGAGCATGTATGGAGCAGAGCATGGGAGGCCATCAATCTCTTTATGGCTGCCAGGGCTACTTAACAAGCTGCTTTCTTCTTTCTTAATGAACAAGTACTTTCTTCAGTGGAGGGTCTCCGTTTCCTCTAAGCACGTTGTGCTTGCTTTTCTACCTTAACAGAGATGCGTAAACCCAGGCTGTGAATGATGGGGGTAGGGGGTATGAAATGGCTCCAATAAAGTACTGTTCAAGCCCAACATCTACGGTCCCCTGTCTACGTGGCTCCTTGTGAAATTCTGCCACTAAAAAAAAATCCATCTCACGAGTAGATGTCACAGACATCCCCATCAGAAACTCCAGCCTCCTCCGAGCTGCTTTAGCACCCCTCTGAAAGGCTAATAGAAGCAAAAGAAAGAGAAATGAGCCTGTAGATGCTAGAGGGTAGCTGTGCAGTTTCACTACACAACAGAGTCCCTTTCCCCTGACATGGGATCTACAGACAGAGGCAGAGCAGCAGAAACTCCTTCACTGCAACAGCCTACTCTGATCACCTTCCCTTATGCACAGATTGCCCCTTCAGGTAATAAGCAATGACACACGCAGCAGGCAGCACATTTGGAAGTGAGTGACTAATGTCCCTGTTAGGCAGCAGGCCAAGCAATTTTAATACGCAGAGGAAGCTATTATCCCCCAGAAATGTAGGGCCTTTCTTGTCTTACAGCCATTAACAGTGTGTAAGTCACAGGTTTGTGCTACGAATAATTTAAAACAGGCCGTCACCCTTCTCGTTTATCCTTTACACTGGAGGTATGCTCCCCATTAGCCCTACCTATGTTAGGGACATTTCCTTTGGTACTAGCTTAGTACCTGGAAGTTTTCAGACCAAGGCTCTTTTGCAGAAAAGATGTAACTGTTCAGTGAGTGCATAGTGTTGCGAGTCATGCATGATTCATGCTAAAGGAAAGTGACAGAACCAATGAAATATGCACTTCTTTAGCACTGATACAGACATGGCTTTCTATTAAGTGGGCAGAATAAGATTGATGGCGCCCTAAGATTGTAATTTTTCTGTTTTCAAGACCTAAGGCCCAGTGGTAGGTGGTCACTTAATAATCTTAATTGGCTTTTCAGACAATACATTTTTGGGACTGGAAGTTTATAAGCTGCAGGCACTTGGTCATAAAAGAAAGAAGTTCCTTCTGAAAGCACAAGGCAGGAAGTCACAGGGGCCAACTGCTATGCCCTGCTCTGACAATGACCTCTAAGATGGCCATGGATATGACATCATGGCTGCATGCCACAAGAACTGTCCTTAGAGGACAGTCCTATATAACAAGAGCAAAGGTATCCCAAGATAGTCTGGTCCTCATTCTTCACCCAGATACTATGACAATGGCAGTCTTTAGCTTTCAGAGGCTAAGCATGCTTCTGTTTGCAAAGATCTCTGAGGGGAGGGTGCTGAAGAAGTGCACATCACCACTGCCGGCAAAGACAGCGCAAGGTGGCATCTTAGAGATGAGCTGGTTCAGAGAAGTATGAGCTTTCACAGGTGGCAGCCTACTTTGCCAGATGCTGTGAATGGAGGGTTTTATACAGAAGGAAAAAGGATGGGGGAGGAGACACTGCTAGGACAGGTAAAAAGGGCTCATTAAATCAATGGAGATGAACAAGGAAGTCAGCACATTAAATGACATAAGACTTTACAGCTAGTCCAGGGAATGGGACAAGAATCCATAGTCCCTCCTGTGACCATACTAAACAATCCAATCGGTGGATGATTATTTGTTCCACCACTGTGTCTTCAAGTTGGTTTTTTAAAGTTCTTTTCATAGATTTCATAGACATTAAGGGCTGGAAGAGACCTCATGAGATGCATACTAGAAGCACGGCGTAACAGCAGTGTGCTCATTGTGAGTAACATGGAGTAATGCTTTGGCCACACACACCATCCTCCCACCATGAACAAGCTAGCCTGAAAACTTTCTGCTTGAATTTTTGTATAGGAATATTTTCCAAAAAAATGCACTTTTCATTTTGATTTATTTAGAATAGAGATTATCAATTCCATCTGCATTTTTTCAAAACACCAAAACGTTGACATTTTGGGAGGTGGGTTTTTCCCCACCCATTTCTTGCTCTGAACCCAAGCGTTGTCCCTGGGTTTGGTTTTCTCTCCTCCCCCACAATGTATTACTTTGAACAAGTGACAGAGCAGCAAAAAGCTCTAGTGCTCTGGGCAGCTCTAATGCAGTTTCCTTTACAGCATCATACATACCTAAACAGGTAGGGAAGTCGCTGTGAACTACAAGCCAGGGCTGCATAAAAACTAACCCTTCCCTTCCCACTGACCACTGTTAAATGTCTGGATACCTCACACCTTCATTAAAGAAGGCCTCATAACAGGGCATGAGAGAAGGCTGTTCTCATTCTGCTATCATACTGCTAAGCCCAGGCATGGGCAAAATGTGGCCCGTGGGCTAGATGTGGCCCACCAGGCCATTCTATCTGGCCTTTGGGGCTCCTAAAAAATTTAGAAAATTAATATTTATCTGTCCCTGCTGCCTGTCATGTGGTCCTCGAGTTTGCCAAAACTCAGTAAGTGGCCCTCCGCCCAAAATAATTGCCCACCCCTGACTAAGCCTATAGACAGCATGCACGAGGTCACTGCAGGTAGTAATGAAAACACATGCAAGTGTTTGTCATTGTAAACAATGGCCTCACTTCCAATGCATATGGATTTTTTCAAATGCTATTTGACCATCTACGAATTTAGAAAATGAAGAGGACAGAGAGGCCTATTGGCTCCTACTTGTCTTTGCTGAAGCCAGCAGATTTGGCCTATGTGAGTCACTGGCATTGCAGCTAGGAAGCCTTTGATGTAACCAGGATTTGCACTCCCATCCGTTAAAAGCAACTGGGCATTTAAAAAATGCAGGTGGTTAATATCCCTGCCATAGGCCAAGCTGCTGAGAAGTCACAGAGACATCCCAGGGGTTCAGGCACTGCTGGGAAAGGGAAGGGAAAGAAGCCAAAGTCAGGGGTGAAGGGGTAGGCGCTGATGGAGAGCGAGAACTGGCAGGTGGGAATTCCCCAGCAGCAGCTGGTGGGGTAGGAGGAGACTGATGGGAAATGCAGTGATTAACAAGTGCAAAACCTGGCAGCCCCACTGTTTTTCATGCACCCGAGTGAGATGAGTGGCTGACATAATGCCAGCTCCCTTGAGTATGTGCGTGGGCTTGAACCAGTTTGCTATATAGCCTCCCTCAACATCATAGCTCCTGGAAAAGTGGGGGGAGAGTAGAAAGGAGAGAAGCCCTTCCCAACAACCTCCAGGTTAACTGTTAAAACACATGATAAGGTACCAGAAGCCCAGACCCTTTTATTAAACGGAGTCTCTCCTGACTATAGCCAGCAGAGTTGGGTGTTAGGCATTAGACAGCACGCAGGCCAAAGGGACAGCTCAAGGAAGGAAGGGCTGGAGGTGCAGTGGCTGCAGTACCAAAGATGGCTGCCATTTATCGTGAATGTTTTGCACTGCCATAGAGCCAAACTAGCCTGTTGTGGGGAGCGGGGGAGTCAGCACTCCACTGTGCTAGGTGCTGCACAGATGCTAGGTGCTGCCCAGAGAGCTCTCCTCTTTCAAGGACAGTGGAAAAAAAAATTCCTCTGGGCACACATATAGCTGGACTGGAGTAAGATAACAATGAAAACTACTGACCTAACCAATGCCACTGACTTATGTGCCTGCTAATTGGCTGGAAAAAAGAGCTCACTCTGCGCTGCTATTGCAGCCCCTGCCCAAGGGGTTGCAGCCATGCTATGAGCACCAACCGCTGCTCTCCTAGAGCACATTGGGCTCTAGCATGATCACTACATGTACCAATAAGACTGGGAACAACACCGCAGTTCAAACCCTCCACTGCTGACCAGCACAGGCCCCAAGCTGTCAGAGGGCAAATTCTGGCCTTGTCTACACGAGAAAGTTTTGTGTGCTGATATATTTCTATCACATGGACAGGCTTAGTCTGGCACAAGAGAGCTATTTTCAGTTGGGAAGAGGTTTAAACTAAACCAAACCCATATATAAGTCTACATAGGTAAGCTGAGCTAGTATAATGGTGGTGGTATAACATGCCATGTGGACAGTCTTATCGGGGGGGGGGG